CAGGATCAGCGAATTGTGGCGACGATCGCGGGCTATCAGGGATTTCTTCAGGTTCTCCTCGATTTGTCCGTCAAGCTGCTTGGCCCAGTCGTCGAAGAACTGGGTTTTACAGGATCCCAGTTTGACCATGAGGACCTCGTAGCGCTCTACGATTTCCAGTGATTTCTCCGACTTGGTAATCCTGCACCCAGTTAAATATTAAAATACTTTGAAGTATTTATAGGTATCTAAAACTTACTCATGCTGCAAGGCCTTGAAGTGCTTGACCGGGGCCGTGATACGCGTCTCCAGCTGATGGCACCAGCGAATAAAGGCGGCCACAGGTGGACAGTTGTAGTTGGGATACAGATTGTCTCCCACCTTTTTCAATTCCATTTGCTTATCGTAGATGGACTCGCAGATCGTCATTTCATCATCCAGCATGCGTACGATTTCAGCATAACGCTGGGTAAACTCCTCCTTGATCTTGGGTCGATCGAGTACGCTACCCACAATGCTAATAAGCTGGTATTTCAAAATTAAATTAGTTAAATATGGTAGACATGTAGAATTCCCCAATTTATACCTTGAAAATACTCTCCAGGTTATGGCAATCATCAAAGGCCTGGCACAAAATGGCCGCCAGCTTCATGTCCAACTCGAGAATGCGGGTCTGAAAGCCCCTGAAGTCCTCATCAAACTCATGGTCATCGGGATCGAGGACGTCGTAGCTCTTCGAGGCAAAGGCCGTGAAGTACTGGTTGAACTCCACGTAGACATCTGTGATGCGTGTGCTGAGCTGACGACCCCGCAGCCCACCGATTTCGACTTTCTCTAATTTCAGGAATTCAATCACAGTAAAGAAGAACCTTGGTGGGGGCCAAATATTAGTGGTAGCTATCTTAGAACTATTCTGAGAATTTATCTACAAAACTTACCACTGAATGGTTGTGAGACGTTCGAGGAAGGCATTAAAGCGCTTGAAAACTGAATTTGGATGAAAAGTCCATAAAATCGGAGGCCGCTCCTCGGGTTCCGTGAAGAACGTGGCCAGTCGTTCCTTATAGTAGTCGAATAACTCCCGAAAGAACTTAAGAATCTGAATGGATAACGTGAGCCGTTGCATGGCCTCATCGATGTCGCTGTGGAATATGGAAGAGGGATCCAAATACCGCTTGGCCTGAAATCGATCAAATATATCAGATGTCTGTCCCCCACTTCCCCCCTTCTTTTTTCCCAACCTGATGCACAATCAAGTTGCATATTTCCTGCAGCAGCACTGTTATTTTCGACGACTGGCAATAGTAACGCGAATTGCCCCATAGAATGCCCACAGTGTTCATGAACGGAATGAGCAGCGGCTTGCATTCGGCGAAATCAATCTCCTCCAGGTGCTGGAGTGGGCGCTTCAGTGGGTTCAGATAGAGTGTTATGTCCTTTGCCTCCGCCAGTGCTACGGAAATCGTATATTGACATGCAAAATTCACATTTAGCGGCACGACACTCACCCGTAACGACGTTCTTGAAGAGGGTCTGAAAGCACGGATGGTAGGCACTCATCGAGTACTCCAGTATCAGGGCCATGGCACGAATGCGCTCGTTGCGCAGTTGGTCGTATATGAATGACAGATTCTTGAGGCGATTGTTCCAAAATGTAAATTCTGGTAGGGGATGTAAGATAAGACATTCTTGATTGCCAATTTTTAAAAGTAATTAAGCGAATTAGGAGAATTAAATGATAGGGCTCGCGAAAGTGTTATTTACAAAAAGCTATTTGGAATAAATTTAATAATAACTACATACAAAATTTAGCTTTGAATCTATAATTGTATTCTATCAACATCATTTGAAACGACCGAGCCTTGTTGAAAAAAGTTCCAAAAAAAATAGATATTTGATATTTGTGTTTATATGAAACAGAAATACTCGTAATTTTAAATTTGTATAAAGCTCAGATAATCGTTACTTATTGCACAATTGCTCAAAGAACAATTAACTTATCTATATATCAATTATGTTTTTTTTTAATTTAATAAAAAAAGCCAAACTTGAATACAATCTCAAATTAGAATTCAGAATTTGTGTCTTTTGTAATTCAGATTGCAAAACCATTTAGGACTTTGTTAAATATTCTGCGGATTTCTTTTCTGTTATTCTATATACATAATATATTTTCGGTCTCAGTTAAGAATGAATGTCATTCGTAAAATCGTAAAATTCGCAGATAATTTAGGCAAATCAGACCTTTTGCTTCCGCCATTCTATCCACCCATCAACGCAATTGTCAATGTCAAATGTGAACGCGTAACAAAAGCCAAAAAACCCTTTGGTCCCATACTCGTAGTCATAACATTATAAATATTGCATGCACGCTGAGGAATGTCATTCGCGAACAGATAATAAAGAAAGACAAAACTTTTTGGACGAGTACGAACATGCAAATTTCGGGGTTGCTAGGATATAAGGGGAGTCTTGAATTTTATCAATAAATAATAAATGGAGGGCGGGAGCCAAAAAATAAACCGGCACACATGGCACCGCCCACTCACCCGTGTGCGGAGTGGGATTCTGGCCATTGGCGAAGGCGTTCGAGGGACTCTCCTTGATGACCTCGTGGATCTGGGTGGCCCACTTGATGACGACGCCCTCGATGGCGCTCTTCAGGTACAGATCGAACTGACACTGCTCCGTCTCGACCAGCTCCTTGGCCGCCTTTACGATCTTCTCCACGCCCACGGGCATGGCCAAGATGGTCTCCCCGCTGACCTGACCCTTCACCTGGTGCACGGTGCTCTTGAGGCTGTGCACATGCTTCTGCACATCCTGGGCCACCATGATGGGCCAGCTGCGGTAGTTGTCCTCGTTGGACAGCAGTGGCACGAGCACCTCCTCGACCAGGGCGGACAGTTGGTCAATGGTGCGTGTGGCCAAGTCCCCGTAGATGATGAAGTTGCCGCAATCCTCGCGAGGAATGGGCAAGGCATAGCGCTTGATGAAGTACACACCCTTGCTCTTCAGCTGCGACAGCGGGAAGGTGGTCGAGGGAACCAGCTGGGCAGCCGGGGTGAGGATGATAATCAGCACAACTGGGGTGTTCCTGTCCAGGAACTCTTTGATAATGCCCTTGTGCTCCTCCACCGTGATGACGCGCGTCCACTTCTCCGGCTTGAGTTTCAGCGATTTGATGACGAAGGAGCCCATCAGCTCCAGTCGTGGATCCGGACCACCAGCCGCCGCTGCAGCAGCGGCCTCGGCGCTGGTGGATGGCTCCATCGCGACCCACTCGCTGGTGGGTGACGGTGGTGGTGGTGCTTTTGGGTGCGGTGGTTGCTTTGGTGTTGCAGTTGTTGTCTGGTTGTTGCTGCTATCTGTTGTTTGCTATGGGAAGGAGGTGCACATGCATATCTTAGTGTTTGGTTGACCTTGTTACCACTAACAACTAGGTATATAAAATCGATACAAAATTGCAAATCACTGAGTTTTTTGGAACATTATGAAATTTTTTTTTTTTTGATTGTTTAAAATTAAATGTTTTTAATTTTCATTTTTAACTTAAACTACTTCCTTCAAGTGTTATGTAACCTTTTTCACAATTTTCACTAGTTACATAACCCACCAAAAGTTATAGCTCTCAATATTTTGTGTCAAAACCAACACAGAGTATTAGTATCCGGTTAAATTCATTAGGCACATTGTCATTATCAATGAATTTATTAAAATTTAATTCATTTTAAATGTTTTTCATATAATATATATTTAATTTTAATTTCGTTTAAAGAACTTTCACTAGTTTTCCTTATTTCAATTGCGACTGCTTACCTCGGCTGCTGGTAAGCGACTGAATGGGTTGTTATTTCCGCTGGCCAAAGCACTCCAACCTGACACGCACATTCAGGTGCCAAAGTGATCGTGGCAGGACCCGTTGCTAAGGAGTTGTTGATTTTGTCCGTCGAATCCTTTTGTGGCCTGTTACCACTGTCTGTTATTTCCCCTGTGCCATAAAGCACGTTGCCAGGTTGGTTGCCAAGTCCGAGGCCATTTGTTGCGCTTAATTTCCGTTTAAATGGCGAACAACACGCCATTTACAGATTAAGTTTATTCGATTTGCACACTTACCATTAATTGATTGTGTGCTAACTGATTAGCCAGAATAGGTGAAAATTATTCAATTAATATTAGAGTAGAGTTTGATATATTCGGAAGATGTACATGAATTTTTCACTGCATATTGTCATTATCAATTGCAAATATAAGAATGGGCTTTCCCTGTTAACTTGTTTACAAAATATTTTACTCTCGGTTAAATTGAATAACCACATTTATTCATGGCTTCAATTTTGTTTAGCATGTATTAAAACCTATTTCCCAAAGTTTTGGCCAAAGTATGACCAATATGCACTTGTACCCTATATTTTACAGCCCATTTAGCACCAATAAATGGTCAATTAAATGTCAGAATTTATAGGCAAACTGTTGGAATCTGCAACATGCAACACACCAAGCACGCGAAAAACCCGAAAAAGTCTATCAAACACGTGTCCGCAAGTGATTAAGATTTGCAAAGCTAAATGATTACCTTGCACGCCAAGAACTGTTGCATTCGAATCGCAACAGTTGGTCTGGGGAAATTCCTCAGGTAACCGAGTCCACGTTTATCATTCGCACTTGCTATAATCTCTCACCCCTTTTTATGGAAGCTAAAAGCGCAGGCGCCATCAACACGTGGCCGTAAACAAATCAAGACACTTGTTGCCACGCTAGCAACACGGTGCATAACCAAGGCCGAAAAGCAACAGATAATTGCATGACTTCCGACTGTAAAAGTTTTCCCATTTCCAGAGGAGATTGGACAAGGCCTAGGTCGTGGAATGTGTCTCGTGCTTTGGGTGTTGGTTCACTGAACTCCAGGCCCCAAAACCAAAACCGCACCACATTTATGCAAGCAGCCAGCCATGCCTGAAAATCAATAAGCTTATAAACCAAATCCAGAGTCGTTAGCCACAACCAGTTGATTGGCAACCATGTGGCAGTTGGCATTGGGACTGGGTCTAATCCAGCAGCTGAGCCTTGCCATCGTGGTGGAGCGCAACATGTTTGCCTACTACAAGGTGCCGGCCGCCCAGCTACTTTACTCCCACGCCTCGGATACGGATACGAATACGGATTTCAACTCACAATCACAGGAGATCACCAATTTTAGGGGCGGCCAGGTAAAGGATCTCTACTATGTGCTGCAGTGTCCCCCGAAGCTGGATGAGGGCATACCCAAGCCGCAGGACATGCAAACCTGCAGAGTGGTGGACCAGTACAGGGGACTGTGGAAGAAGAAGAAGCCACAGCCCAAGAAGCGCTTCCACATGGTGCCATTCCGGATAGTGTTGCGTCCACTGGGACCGCCGGCCAGGAGACGCAGCCTCAAGCGACGCAAACGCCAGCATAATGATCACAAGTATCCACTCATCAAGGCTTCCGATCGGGCTGTCCCAAAAGTAGCGGGGGAAGAGGTGGTCAGTCCGCTACAGTACCTGGGACGCCCCCACAAGCGCCAGAAGCTCCTCAAACTGGCCGCCGACCATCGAAAGTTCAAGCGCGGCAGCCGTTCCAAGGGTCACCAGCACATGTACCATCGCGATGAGACCTACAACGATCACATCTTCTACGACGAACTGCAGGACGACGGGGAGTTCCACAACCTCGGCAAGGGAAAATCTAATTAAATGCAAATTTATTGTCTGGTACCTGAGCAAGCTTTGCATCGAACTGAAACTATAAAACAAATCGACTACCAAAACTCTTAAAATAAATTATAATATCTTAGTTTAGTTTCAGTTTGTCTTGGCTGATAACCTGTTTTATACCCTTGCAAATAATTATTTTTAAATATACAAGATATAGTAATAGATAAATAATTTAGAAATACGTTTTTAATTTGCTAAACAATTTAATAACTCTTAAAAATCGAAATACAGTAGTCCTTGGGAATATTTTATTTTTGTAACAGCTGCAAGGGTATATAACCTTCGGTTTGCCGAAATAAGCTTTCTTGTTTTGTTATAATCATAATGTAATGCTACTGCCCCAATCATATGTCAAAATCAGAGAGAAACATGTCGTCGTAGGCAACGTTCTCAAAGACCTTGTTCAAAAGGACAGTAAACGCTTTGGTGAATAATTGGATTAAGCCGGGCTGCAGCTCATTCCAGATCTCCACCCAGTTGTCGTTGATCAGCTTGTTCATGAAAATTGACACGTCCATGTTTTCCTTATACAGGCCATCTAACCAGATGATCCAGCTACAAATTGAATGGGTTACTCTGGGAGTCTGCGAATGGGAATCCTGCCTGGGCGCCATCCACTCACCGATCCAAGTCCAAGGTGGGCTTTAGGCTGTAAATCTTCAGATAGCGCTTGCCATTTCTGTACTCCACCAACGTCTTGATGGTCAGGGAGATGCGGATGTTTTGGAAGTCGGACGACAGGCGGCCGGTGGTGTTGAAGGCGAAGAGGAGGAACCTGCCCTCCATGTCGTAGGTGGCGTCTTGGAGGATTCGTGGCAGGCGAGCTGACAGCACAATCTGCTTCTGGTTGGGCTCACGTAGAAATCCCTCCACTTGGATTATTGTAGCGTTATTGAAACCCTTGAACATATTGTCCCGCACTCGAATGTCCATCCAGATGGGCCCGCGATGCGGTGATTCCAGAATTGAAGAGTTGGGAAAGTAGTAGGTGTCCAACGGCGGTAGGCCAATATCCGGAATGCCCTTGGGATAGCGCTTGATCAACGCATTGATAGACCTAATCATACAGGTGGAGTCTCCGTAGTGGCACTGTTCAACGTCTTCAGCTGGAATTGATGGGCTCAGTGAAAAGCAGATCAACTTGGCACTGAAAAACTACGCACGTAAGTATGTTCCCGAGATTATAACTAGGATACAGCAACACACCCAAAGCAGCGAGTACAACTTGTTCATTGCAGTGGCGTAATTTAACTGACTATAAAACAATAAACGCTTCGGTCACGCTACAATAAATTCAACTCAAATACTTAGAACCTGCTCTAAGCGAAGCTTTTCAACTATCAACAATAACATATTTAATGCAAATCAATTGGTACAACCGGTTTGCGAGCCATATTAATCTTTGTCCTTCTATGACTCCGATAAAAATATAATGCCTTAGTCTACAAAGACTTCAATCATTTACTTGAGAATTCCTTAGCAATTGGTAAGAACATATCGTCATAGGAGACCTTTTCAAAGACATCCTCGAATATATCGCGAAAAACACTGGCGAATATTTTTAGATTTCTGGGTTCCAGCTCGTTCCAGAATTCCACCCAGTGCTGATTGAATACATGATTAATGGCTATCGACATATCCGTGTTCGATTCGAAAAAGTTGTCCAGCCAAAAAACCCATCTGAAAAACAATATCCGTTTAGATGGTGTCGGACTCTAGAGGAGCACAACCTACCGATCCATGTTCACAAAGGGTGTAAGCTTGTAGATCTTTAGATAGCGCTTGTTATTCCGATACTCCATGATCACCTTCAGCTTGAGGACAAAGCGAAAGTTCTGAAAGTCAGAAAAGGATTCTCCCGTGGAATTTAGCTTCACAATCCACACTCTTCCTTGGGAAAAGTAGTTGCCCTTGTGGATGAGACTGGGTATCCGGCCGTGTATTTCGATCAGGCTGGAGGTGGGATTCTCGTCGAAACCATTAACCTTGGTGATCGTCGTGTTCTCGAAGCCATAGTTCACCTGATCGAACAGATCAAACTGCAGCCAGAAGGCGCCTACCTTCTCGTCGTTCCAGAACTTTGAGTTCCTGATGTCCACCACATCGATGGGTTTTAGTCCCAGCGCCGGTATTCCTCTTGGAAACTTCTTTATTAACACATTCATCGAGTCCACGATGCACTGAGATTCTCCAAAGCGGCACTTTTTAATTTCCTTGGCTGGCAATGCGTATAATAATCGAAATATTATTTTGTATTATTTTGGCATCCGGAGCCTGGACTTTGTTACCTACGTATCATCTGGCTCTGCAGCAATCCGACGAGCTGCAGGCTCAGCACAATGAATAGTATATAACGCATTCCCATCTAGTTTGTGTAACTAGTTGACTAGGTGCACTTCTAGTGCCTTCAGCCGTCGGTTGTCATTTGAAATCGTATGGTGGAAAACAACTGGTAGGTAATTATGCGCCTCCATTTATATTAAACCGGTTGCAAGCTTTACTTGTCTTATTTGCATTTTCAACTCGAGCTATTTGTAAATCATCAATGAATGTAGAATCTACGTTATGTACCATTCGTTTATAAGATGATAACCCTCTATAAAACAATTACCATCCAATTGTAGGATTTTTTTAAAATTTAATAATAGGAGTATAATAAAAGTAGGATTTTTTAAACTTTTTATTTAATAGGAACTTGCTTAAAAAAATTATAAAATCAATTAAATTGATATGGCCTTATTTTAACTTTATAAGCTACTAATTTTCGATGAAAAGATCGTCATATGGTACCTTTTGGAATACATCTTCAATAAGATTAGTGAAAACACTTTGAAAAACTTCCAAAATCGACGGCTCCAGTTCGTTCCAGAACTCCACCCAATTCTTATTGATAACTTCATTAACGGCTATAGTTAAGTCGGAGTTTTCAACGTAGAAGTCGTCCAGCCCGATAATCCAACTGAAAAACACAAGTTGTTATCAAAGATAATATGGGTCTCACGTATAATATTACCGATCCAATTTAAGCCGTGGCACTAGCTGGTGCACCCTCAGATATCTCTTATTGTTCCGATACTCAATGAGGACTTTAAGCTTGAGAAAGAACTTAAAGTTTTGAAAATCAGACACCGATTCGCCCATGGAATTCGTCTCTATAAACAAAATCTTCCCGTTGACTACGTACTTTCCTTTGTGCACGAGTCGGGGAATCTCGCCATGAATCTCCACCAAGGACGAAGTAGGATCCCTGCCAAAGCCTCTGACTTCGGTGATCGTTGTGTTTTCAAATCCGTAGTTCTGCTGGTCGTACATCCGGAATTTGAACCACACGGCGCCAATGTCCACGTCTTTCCAAATTTTAAAGTCCTTTATGTCGACAATTTCGATGGGTTTCAAGCCCAAAACCGGGATGTCCTTTGGATAACTCTTTATGACTTGGTTCATACTCTGAATGATACATTTGGATTCTCCGTAGTGACATCTCTTAGTGTACTTGGTTACGTCTGGGAGAAATCGACCAGTTCAGATTTGTTTTTGATCTGTATTGATGTCTCACCCAGTGCTTCACATCTCCGAATGGCAACCAGTTGCAGCAGACCTATGATCGTTATGAAACAAGCCCACATTTTGCCTTGTTAGATGAAAAGCTCAAAGTGTAAGCGTGTGTTGGCATCAACAGTCGAATTGCAATTAAACTTACGATTTGCAACCAGTATGACTCTCATATTTCACTCGCAGTTTTTAAGGCCAACAAACCTGGTTGGAATGTGCACAAACCAAAACTAGTTTTCATTTCATTTATTCTTATTCTACAAAGAGGTGTATTTTTTCAAACTGCTTATCTGTGGGGTGTATGCTATCACATTTGTTAAGTGAGCTAAAAATAATTTAAAGAAAACATCTATAGAGATTTTTACAATTTTACTACCAACAATGTTTAAGTAAATGCTGCCAAGCTTAAGTCTACTTAGAGTCTTCATCAGCTAGGAACAGATCATCGTAAGGTACTTTTTCAAATAGATCCTCGATCATGCCAAGAAAGACGGTTTCAAACAGGGGCAGGATACCCGGCTCCAATTCGTTCCAGAACTCCACCCAGTTGCGATTAAACAAATTGTTAATTGCTATGGTCAGATCGTAGTTATCCGGAAAGAAGTTGTCCAGCCACATAATCCACCTTTTGACAGAGCATAGTAAATGTATCATGAAAACTGATCATAGTTCTTAATCACCAATAATTTATATATCTATACTAATGATATTCTAAATAGAATGATTAAAGTTTTAAAAAAATATATATTTAATAAAAGTTTAAATTTAAGTTTTTGTTAGGAAAAAACATAATAAGCTCACCGGTCAAGCCTTATATTCGGGACCAGTTGATAGATCTTCAGATATCGCTTATTGTTCCTGTACTCGATGCGCACTTTTAACGTAAGACCGAACCGGAAATTGAGAAAATCTGACTCGGAGGTTCCGTGTGAGTTTATATCCACGAACCAAAGCATCCGACCTTTGGCCAGATAGTCGCCCTTGTAGACCAGTCGGGGAATCTTTCCGTGAATTTCTATCTTGGAGGAGGTGGGGTCCCGGTCGAAGCCCAGGATCTCCGTGATGGTGGTGTTCTCGAAGCCGTAGTTGATCTGATTGAGTAGCTCGAAGAAGTACCAGGCCCCACCCACCTGGGAGTCGTTGACCAGCAGCCAATCCCGCACGGGCACCACATTAAAGGGCTTCAGACTGACCTCGGGAATGCCCTTTGGGTAGGTCCTCAACAGAGCATTGGTCGATTCCACCAGGCACTTGCCGTCGCCGTAGTGACATTTCTTTATCTTGGCAGCTGTGGAATAGGTTAAGTCAGTTTTCTGGTTCTTACAAGGATATTCGCCATAAATCACCCACGCAAGGTCTGACACTGCAGTCCAACGTATAGCTGAAGGCTAATAAGCAGATAGACCAAGTAACGCATCTCACAGCGGTATGAAAATGAATCCTCCACAGATTACGCTAAGCTCTCAATAGTCCGATGCACTTGCATAGCTGATGGCAACTACTCGGTGATTAAAACAGATTTCTTGTTAGGACGTAACATTCATGAGGAAATCTAAGCAACTGCCATTATCATAACGTGTTGTCTATACTCACTGAGAAAAACATCTACATCTGAAGTAGTCTGTACTGTATAAAATGTATACCCTGTAAATATTTCTTCTACAACAGGTTAACATTCATTTAAGTGTATGCCAAAAAATTAAATTTATCCATATACATTTATACATTTATACATCTAGGTATCATAAATAAATTTTATTGTTTTTACCAGTGTTGCAATAAAATAATTTACTGCTTTATATTAACTTTGCACGATCGTTCTCTCTCCTTAAAATGAGAGCTAAGCTGAAAAGCTTCTAGTATTTGTGCTTTCACCACACCTGAATGATGATAAGTGGTATTAAACAGAATAATTTCGTAAGTTCATAAAAAAAAAATTGGACAAAGGGTATAAGCTTTTAAACAGTTCATAATAGGGCACTGAAGCGAAAATATCGTTTAGTTTTTCGAAATCTTCGATTACTTTTGGAAATATAAATCTGCATAAAATTCATTCTACCGATCTAAATCAACAGTTAGACTAAACTCTATAGTTTTGCATATAAGTTGTCGTCCGCGGTAAGCAAAAATAATTTGGCCTAGACCGTCGTTTTTACTTTCGAGGGAAACTGGGATAAAGGTATCTCTACCTGCGAGTGGTCGAATCCCACACTCTTAGTAACTTTTGTGTTCTCAAAACCGTAGACTATTGGTAACTCACAATCCAGTTGTGCCAAAAGTGTAGATTTCGATTGCTATTTTAAAGATGCTATTTTAAAAGCATCCTGTGGTAACACAATTATCTCAGGCAGTCCTGGTTTTCCGTGTCACCAGATCACCATATTGATGCCCACAAAAGACATTTATCGCCCTGGCAGCGACACTTCTCTATATCAGAGGCTGTTCGAAATATAATAACACAGTTTTTCGTTTAAAGCTTAGTAACGTTAAAAATCTTACGCAATTGATTAGCTGCGAGAAATAGCTAACTTAATTGCATTATTTCCACTGAAAAGCACTTAAAGCTAAACGGCTACTTTATTAAGTTTAAAACTTAAACTGGTTTAAGAAGCTTTTTTGAGCTTCTAACTCACAGTCCTTTTTCATAGTTTAATAACTATAAATTAAAAGAACGGCTTGGGCGAGAAACACCGGGGTATATTTATATTATTCGGGTTGTAAATCATTTAACCATTTCATGCTAACTTCTGATAAAAAAAAGGTTTAAATAATTAAATAATTGTTTAGCTATCAAACAAATAGAATTTGAAAAACTGTTTTAAAAATGAAAGTACAAAACAAATGAACCAAATAAAATTTCTAAATTATATCTAATTTGTGTAAAACTGAAAAACAAAAGAAATACAAAAAAACGATTTTTTTAAATGTCTAATCTCTATAGAAATTGTCATATGGCAACTTGTTGGCCACTCGTTTTAGAAGGGATTCGACCAGTTGATCCACTGCCGATGTGATACCCTTGCGAAGGGTATGCCAAATATCCAGCCACTTGGTGTTGGCCACACCGTTCATGGCATCGCTCAACTCGGGGTTATTGAAAAGATTTTCAAAATTCAGATGCATACTGATGAGGAAGAAATTCTTAAATCAAGTGCAAATCAGTACAAAACGTAATCTTACCCCTGCACCTCCAGCAAGCACTTGACCTTGGCTATGTCGGCATATCGTTTGCCATCTCCTCGGAATTGCTCCACTGCCCTCACCTTGCAGCGAAAGCGGCATTCCTTGATCTCCACCTGTGCCTGGCCCCTGCCCTGAATGGGCATCGTCAGCAGACTGCCATGCATCTCGTAATACCCATCCAGTTGCAGCAATGGAATCCAGCCACTAATCTCCAGAACTCGCGGCAGTTCCCCATCGAACCCTTTTGCCTCCGCCACTGTAGAGTCCGCGAATCCCCTTACGGTTAAATTGTAGAATCTGAGATCCAACGTTGCCGGCCCATCTGGTTCCATACGGCTAACGATCACATTATCGAATCCAATCGAATCGAGAGCATCCAATCCAATGGAGGGCAGGCCCTTGGGATACAATCGCAAGATACTGGTCACGGTTTTCGCTATGCAAATTGAACCGCCAGCCTCACATCTTTCAATCTCAGGAGCTAAACGATTTACAAATGATTTCGGTTAACCAAAGAATATTCTTTAGCTTACGTAGCTGTCCCAGGGCAAGAGCTATCCACAGACTACTCGCAAATAGGATTAACCTCATCACAATTCGGTTTGGGGGTCAGCTAATTAATGGATGAGCTTGCGACTAACTATTCGCTTTTATAGGCCATTAACGCCAGCAAATAATTGCCGGTTACATGCATATGCAAATCGAATAATTGAAACCTAAGTAAATAGACGCCCACACCCGACACCTAACACTATGAGTAGATTTAATGAGTAGCTTATTATCCGTTTCGGGCTATAATTTTCACTTTCATTCATCCAATTGATCATTACACTGAATGTTACGGTCGTTTGCAACACGTTTTCTTAGATAATTTCAGTTTTTGACGTAAACCAACACTCCTAAATTTAAGGTATAAAAATAATGACCTATGATAAATATTTTCCTTAATATAATAAAAATCTTTATTTATAGCAATTTTTGTACACAACAATTTTTAAAATATTTGTTTGTAGCTAGCTAGGAGATGAAAGACTCCTGTGGACCTTTACTTTCCATTAAAGTGCAGCTTTATGAAGGAGTTCTAAGGTTTAATAGTACAAAATAAATACAAAGTAGTAGGTTTCTTTTTTAAAACATTTGATAAATAATTACATACACACATTCAATATAGAGACACAAACTGATATAATTTTGACATGAAAATTTAAAAACGATTAGACAATTGATGTGGTTCGATTTACGCTCAGTTAATTTCACAGCCTTATCAATAATAGATTTTACAACTATATGCATTAATTAAAAGTGCTTTCAATTAGTGTTAATTTCGACGATCTCATGGATTTGGTTTTTTGTCTCTCTGCGCTTTTCAGTAAGTAGTGTTCATTACCCATTTTTGGTATGCATTCAAATTTAGTTATTATGTTACACTGATCCCAGGTCCTCTCGGAGGACCTCTTAAAAAATAATACCCGAAGCAACAACGGACGCCAATCTATTCCCCGCCAGCCAGACCGAATCGAACCCCGGTCTGGCCCCGGAAGAATCTGCCACATCGTGTCCCTTGTCGAGTAGTTTGTTACGCCGGCGGCATTCCCGGAGCCAATTCGAACGCCACCGCTAGCTGAGGACGACGTGATGCCGCCCAGTTCCGTTCAGATTGCTGCTTGGGCAGCCGACCTCGTTGTTGTTGCTGTTCGTGAAACAAACGTCCTCACTGCCATCGGAATCAGTGCAGCACAGTAATGGCTACGCGTCCTCACCGTCAATACCCTCTACCTCGTTTTCGGCACTCGTGGCAATCCTGCAAGAAAAGTTATGGGAAAAATTGTATAAATGATTGATGGTTGATGGAGGGTATGTATAATGTTGGTTTGAGTGCAAATCTCTCGTCAATGCAAATTAAATTTAATTAAATTTATTCAATTATATATACGTATGTACAAGCCGTTCACCCCTATTTCACACAGCTCTTGCAGAGGGTTTTATAGTTTGATAAAAAGTTTAAAACGCAGTAAAGGACCTTACAAAGAATATATATTGGGTTGATCTAGCCGTGTCCGTTAGTCCGTCCAGTTCTACGCAAACTAGTGTCTCAGCTCCCATAGAAACAAGCCGAAAATGAATACACCCAAAAAGAAAACTGAAAATTCAATTGTAATAGGTGTGTCTTGAAAATAAACTACAGACAGTATTAAAGTATAAGTACTAATTCAATACTTAATAACATAACCTTTATACTGTTTGGTTTCATTTCTAAACGGAAGAGCCTAAAATTGTAGTGTAACTTCTTATTTTTACACTACAAAAGTTTTATTTTGATACTTTCGTGGTATTCATTTAATACTTATCATTTAAAATTCATGTAACAATAGCTATGACAATTTTTTGTTTTTGGGAGTAGAAGAATTTTAAGAAAATAAAAATAATTACGCTTTTTTTCAACATACAAATTACGTAGATACATATGTTTTTAATTTTACAAAAAGCCACATTTTTATCGAAAAATCATGTTTTTTGTTTTTAAATATATATTTGCATCAATACAAAGTCGTTTTATAGAATATTACAATTAAGGTAAAGTAAAGCTTCCCTTCTTGTTTTTTTTAATATTTGAGCAAAAGTAAAATCAAAATATTTTGCTATCAAAATATTCAAAGTAAAATATAACTAAAAGCTTTGTCATTAAAATTTATAATCGGTTTAAAGCCACACTGAAGCTCTCCCTTAATAGTGACACAATTAGCTTAACAATAGAAAAAAAAGTATCAACGTAAAATTAAATTTACAATTCGTACAAAGTTAGCAAAACATACAGAAAAAATCACCTCATGAAATTTCAAAGCACATTATAATACACAGGTAAACAATTAAGTTAAAAGCAAACAAAGTAAAAAACCACCAGCGAACACACAAACGAAATTTGTATTTTTATTGTCTGGAAAAGAAGAAGGGAAAGTTTTGGGAAATTTATTTATTTCTAGTCTAGAAATTCTACAGTTAATAAATATGTCTACATAATTTACATTCAAAATCTAACATTAACAAAATGATTTATACAAAGCTTCTAATATCAACAAAATGTTTTCAGAAGAGTAGTACGTACATTCGCCTAAAAAATATATTGATAAGGACATCTATAGGAAAATACTTATAGTGCAGGACTTAGGAGATTAAATTCTTTACATAAATTTGGACGCGAATTTTTAAGTATTTCAATTAAGCTAAAAAAGCTGAGGAAATTTGACTTAAGACTATCTTAATTGGTTTCGTTGAGTGAGATTCTGATTTGGATTTTGAATCGAGTTTCTTGCGATTCCATTATCGTTAAGCGTCAGCTCGCTATTTACATTATTTGCAGAATCCGATCCAGAATTGAAGTGGTAGTAGTTTCACGTTGATGAGGCCCCAAGCAAAAAAAAAGAAAATCAGTTTTGACCAGCACAACTTTGAGCGCGCCGCATTTTGGCCATGATATTTAAAGTCAAGTGAAGAAAAATGTATTTTTGATTATTTCAATGGTCATGGCACACGATTTCAATCGATTGAAATTTGGAAAATTCATTTAGTCTCGCTTTCGTTTAGCCTTCGATTATGTTTTGCATTAAAATTTTGCATGTTATGCGCCATTCTTCAGAAATCAATTTTGAACAAATTCGTTTAAAAGTTTCGAAAAGTAATTTCAATTTGTTTGTATCAATGCCAAGTAATCCATTTCCACATAGAAAGAAAATACATTTTTGTGGTTGTTGTGCACGTGTGTGTTTGTGTGTGTTCAAGTTAAAATTTGTTTTTGTGTGTCAATTTGAAAAAGTTGGTTGTTTTTGTTGTAGTTGTTGTTTTGTGTATTTGTATCGCACATTTCAATTAGACAAAATTGAATGGGAAACGGGAAACATCAATCAATCCAGTCGTGTAGTCGACACCGAGTATAAGAGTAGGGTGTATAAGATAGTACGGATAGAGAGGGACGGTGGAGAAACACACAGACACATACAGAGAGTACAGGGTTTCCAAGTACATATAACAAAAGAGAAATGTCATGATACAAAATTATTTGAAAATTAGCCACAAATTCGAAGTGCTTTGAGATTAGAATGATAAATGAGCCACGCCCAAAGTGTTTTAATGCCCACTTCCATAACACAAAGCTTAAAATAATTTAAGGCGTCTTATAACTTACTTACAAAATGCTTAAACACTATATGTATGTTTAAATTATATTAATAGAACTAAAAATTTTATTTCTGTTCGTAGTAATTCCATTTTTGTAGTAAGACCTTTTAATATCGATTATCTACCATTTATGGAACGGCTTCACCTCGCACTTATGGCCAAATACCAATTACCAATAAATTGAAAGACTTCGAGTAATACTTAGTGGTAAATGCAACTTTATTTAACATGCTAAGCGCCAAAGCCTTATGAGTACATAATACCCATTGCTCGATAAAGCAATCAGTGGACTTACCGGAGACACGCTTACTATCTATAGGACCCCATCGTTGTGATGGGTAAATGCTTTCTATTTACAAACGTAGTTTCCCTAAAGACATGCCTTACAAATTTAAGGGTTTCGTAGAGCCCTACTAGGTACTTGTTAGTAGTATTAAGCGTGTGATTTAGTGTTAATATCACAAGGTTGTGTGTGGGGGAGTCGGGCCTGAATGAGTCACTGGGATGATTCAGTTAGGCACTTTCTCCGAGACGGTTTCGAGACCTTTCACCGTGTTAGTAGCTGATTCGCCTACAACTAAGGTTACATCACTGTGAAGAATCGAGAGAAGAGAGCATAGCAAGATACGATTTGGGAGTTTAGTTTCGGTTTAGAGATCATAACCAGATGTGGATTAGTTAGGTACAGGCTTAGAGCTTACATATGGGGAAAGGATTAGGATTAATTGGAAGAAGTAGAGCCAATTCGGTTGAAGAACAGTGCGGATAGAAACTTAATACCAAGCAAAAGGTTAAAAGAGATAGCTACTAAAGAGGGAGATGCAGAGTGAGAGAGTTTGTGCATTTGAGTGTGGTGCGAATGGTGATATTGTTGGGTAAATACAATCTGGAACATACCTGGCATACGTCGAGTTGGCGTTCTTTATCGAAAAGCTGTTTTGGCTTGGCAACACGAAGCGCTGAACCCACTGTAAACAGAGAATACCTTGAGTACCAGTAGATGAAGAAGGCAAAAGCCCTCCAAAGCCCCCAAGAACCATATGTGGTCAGTCACGTAAATTGATAAAGTCGGGGCATTGATGACAGTATCAGTGATGCTTTAAAATGTGTCAAAACGTTCGTCTAATTTGTGACTCGCTAAGCCCACTTGATAAGTGGCCCAAATACTCACCCGACTGTTCATCAAGCGCTGATTGCCCATGCAAGCGGCCATGTGTATCACAAGGTATAGGTTAAACAGCAAGTACAGAATAGCAAATATACCTGGAATAAGGTAGAGAAAAGGAAAATCATAAGCATAAGGCAAAGTAATAAAAACCATTGACTACTCACAGACTAGGGCAAGCAAACCGCCTTTAATTTCCATGTTCTCCACCTGCACCACTACAAAGTACAAATTAACGCCAATCACCACAATGGTCAGCAGAATAGAAACGATTTTGTTGCCCCTGTGAATACAGAAAATT